TTCAATGCTTCATGAAGATTCATCTGCCCATCAATAACTGCAGGGTGGAGATGAAGCAGAGCGGAGGAGGTCCGTGGTCCGAAGGAGCGACTGTGGCGAGGAGAGAATGAATCTAAGCAGCTGGAGAGAAGGAGACAAAATACTAACACAGAATCAAAAAGAACAACGGGGAACAAACGGGCTTGAGAAATGCTAGAAAGAACTGGCAGGGGAGTGAACGAAGAGCAGGGACTAAATAGGGAGAAACTAATCAGGTGCAGCTGGTGGTAATCCGGGGGTAAGAAGCAGGTGTAAAGAATAACGTAATCAGGGTAAGGGAGTGAAAACAGAGTGAGGGGAGTGAGAAAGTAGGTGCAGCCGGGCAAACCTGACACTTTTGTTGTTACTGCACAATAAATCTCATCTTACCTTGCATGAGTGCTAGTTTAATCTCATGCCAGCTACCTCAAACAGTGGCATGGAAGCTCACAGCAAATATTAATATCAATAAATGGGAACAAATGCACATTAAATATTGCTCAACCTCCTACATCTACAATGTCCTCATAAAAATGATGTTACCTATTTGGGCACAAACATACTGTAATTTCAGATCTGGTTTGAATTTCATTCCATTTATTGAGGAAACAAAGAGAAAACTTATCTCATGGTTAAATCTGATCACTAAAGCTGCAGGGATCTCAAGTTAACTCAGAAATCCTAATTTAGTCTGGAATTTTGTTGCTTACAACAGTATGCATTCTCCACAATTGGGGGTCTAAACTTTTTGTTACTATGGGTACAGTATCGCAAAACTCCTTCTCAAATGATCACATTTCCATTGACAAATGCAATTAGCATGGTCACTCAAAACAGTTTTTCTCCACATAAGTATTTATCTGGAACAACATCTTATCAAAAGTTTTTTTCTTCTTTTTTGGTTTAAAAAAATAACCACTTATTTTACTTTTGGATCATAAAGTATTTAGTTTCTGTAATAAAGTTTTATTCTTGCTATAAATTATATCTGCAAAAGTATATTTAATTTTTAATTAATTAAATTTAATTTAATTTTTGTTTATTGTATTTAAATATGAATTAGGACCTCTTCAAATTCAAAAGCAAATAAACTAAATCTAACCTGTTCCTACCTTTTTGTATTTGCCCTATTTCTCCTCCAAAAAGCTGTTGAGAACAACCTTTTAATAACAGAGAAGAAGTCATTTGTTTGCAATGTAGTGATGCTGATGGCTTGTCGTGGGTGGCACAGGCCCTAGGACCAAAACCTCAGCATCAGTTGGATTTCTTGCTCCCATTGGAGTTATTAGATTCCTTCTACTGGGCCATGTGCCCCAGTATTGATCTGCTGTGCCCCAGTAAAACCACACATTTGAGTTTTAACAAGCTCCTTAATTTTGGTAGTGGATTAATTTAGACTGATAACAAGGGAAAATAACTGATTTGTTCTTACCCATTATGTCAAAACAAAATACAAACTGAGGCGCAATGGTCAGCGTTTGTACACCACAGTGTGCATGTACTGTATGCATGTGTAAGGACTGCTCGAACACAACAGTGAGCGAGTCACAAAAATAGACGGACCCAGGTGGCTGACTTCAGTGCAGACAGTGTAGTTTATTTACAGTGCTGTATAAGTGACAAATGAACAGAGGAACAATGGAACCGGGTGTCGAGCATAGGAGTGTACACAGTCAATGATGAAGATGATGAGAAGACAACCGGGCTGCGGACATTGGGACTCACTCCTGGACTGGTCGGGTTAGGTGCAACTGCAGATAAACATAAATAGTACATACGGTGAGTGGTAGACTGTGCATCGACCTGCGGGGTGGTGAAGAGCAGAGTGGAGGAGGTCCGTGGTCCGAAGGAGCGGCTGATGGAAAAAAAAAAAGGGAATGTAATCTAAGCAGCTGGAGAGAAGAGACACAAAACACTAAATACAGATTCAAAAGAACGACGGGGAACAAACGAAAAGCTAGATAGAACTGGCAAGGGAGTGAACGAAGAGCAGGGACTAAAATAGGGAGAAACTAATCAGGTGCAGCTGGTGACAAGCAGGTGTAGAGGATAACGTAATCAGGTAAAGGGAGAGAAAACAGAGTGAGGGGAGTGAGAAAAGAGGTGCAACCGGGCAAACCTGACAGCATGTCTTACAACTGCCAGCTGGTGCAGTTAGGTGCACAAGCAGCAATCCATGTATGGTGCACTAAACAAAAGAAATGAGAAGTTGAATTAGTCTTAAAATGCTATTTATCGGTGTACGACATGAAAGGCTTATGGCTTTTCCTTGTTTTGACTTATCTACAATGTTACAATGGTGAATTATCATCTTACTTGTGACCTAAAGATCAAAAAATGAGGTGTATGTATGTTCTAGTATTTCTAGGCAAAAGTAACCCTGTTTATACAAGTCTCGCAAACTCTCGCTCGTGAGACCTTTTTTCTAACAAAATTAAGTGTTACCTGATAGTTTAAAGATTTTCTTGATTGGTCATAATCTCCAGGCTGTTGCTCGATCATGTGAACTTGCCTGGCATCCAACAGTGCCATTGTAAAAGTGGAATTTTTAGACTGCTGTTATGGCAAAAATGGTCTTATCAGGATTTGGTGAATGCAAAATAAAACTTGATACCAACTCTGGAGGTTGATGTGCATTTATTCCTGCAGGAAGGAGCGAACTCACACAGAGTGTCAAACATAACAGTCTGAAGGAGAAGCTCCTTGAGCAGAGAGCTGCATTTCCTTTTATAAATCATTATGAGTGTTGCTTGTGGTTTCGGTCAGTTAAGGTCATATGTAGGTTTAAGGAAACGTCTGTCACACAGGAAAGAAGCTGTCTGGTTTAACATCCATACAATGTCATGCTTTTCACTGAAGACACTTTGACACAGAAGTTTGTCTAGTTTCACAAGCACACAAACAACTATACATAAAAACAGCATAGCAACAGCTAAGATGCTAATATTAATTTTTCCATCACACTTGTGCCCAGTTTTAAAAATATATATATTTTCACTCCTGCTGCTGCACTGTGACCAGAGGATGTGGAGAAAAATACAGGGCCTGAGGTTCCTGCATGTCTGAGAATGTTCCCGTACAGGGACTCGCTGTTTTACCTGACCAGGTCTAACCTACAAGCAGCCACTAGTGAAGCTACCGCTGCAGTTAGTGATCAGCTAATCAATGCTGGAAATCCCCCAGAGCACAGTACCTGTTTGTTTAGACTGCTTGAGGCCAGTGTGTCTGCTGCATGTGAGTGTTGCTGGTTAACGAGAGGATTAATGACCCATGATGTTATTGTCGGAGCTACGCTACCTGTTGGAATTAATTTCACTACTTTGGGACTGTATGTGGTTGTGTGGGGGGACGACACAGCTACCACCGGTTGTATTTACCAACCTTGGAGCTACTTTCAAGGAAGTGATGTTTCCACTACTCTGTGGGACTTAATGGTAAGTTTAAAAAAAAACGTTTTGCATGTCTGTTAATGCCTCGTTTCTGTAATGGTAGAGAGAATTGTTGTAAGGCTGGAAAAGTTACTATGTCTGCATTATGCCAATTAAAATATGGGGTTTCTCAATTACCCGCTTTGTTTAGTGTTACATATCTCTTTTCATCGACACATATACTGTTGTTTACCTATCTATGGAGGAGACATTCACATCATTGTGCTGTCCACTTGCGGCACAACAGTGGTAGCAAGAGGTGTGTGCATTCACAAACTATTCTCTCGTTTTTAGAAAGAGGCTCTCTGGTTTTATCATTCTGAAATAATTACAGAATATTTGGAGTTAAGAGGGGAGCCAAGCTAATCTACAGGTACCCATGATTAAACATTAAATGGCTGGAAATGAGCAAAATGAGCAGCCATGGGCTCCTGAAGTAAATAGATGCATATCACACATAGCCGGCTGTGACTTATAACATAATATTTGACACTCTTGTCACATAGTCCAAATAATGTTTGTTTTATGCACATTTAACAAATGTGAACCAGAGGCAGGAAGGGAATGTGTGAAGGAAGCTGTCTGTGCAGGGACTTCTGTGGAGAGAGATGTGTCACCACTGTCCATTGCACAATACAGTTTTGAAGTAACTGGAGCACTGATATGTTATGGGGACTTGTGAGTTACAAAAAAATGATTAGATTGTGTTTTGCAAAAGAATGCAAAAAAATGTGCAAAACAGAGCCAGGCTTTTATGTTATAAAAATATGTTGAGAATGTTCTTAATGTATGTTGAAGTAAATATTTTCATACAAATTAATATTGCTACATTTTTACCTTTACCAATTTCAGAAGCAGCAGTATGGCAGTGGAATAGTGGTCTAAGCAAGGTAAATTCATATAGCACAACGTATAGCACATTTCGTTCATGCAGTAGCTATTCAAGAAAAAAAAAGATGTGTGATTTGAGTAATGGGGGGCCTGTGCCCCAGATTAGCCACACCCCTGCTTGCTCCTGTGTCATATGGTCCACCTCATTCATTAAGCTGAGTATGGAACTGATTCATATTTTTGTAATGATATTAAACATTGGCATCACACACTTCTTCTTAAACCATGTAATTGTAATTGTCAGTGAACCGTATCTTCTAAGCCACAGAACGTCACAGCACTGAGGAATTTGGTGCGTTCCAACTTTTTGTTACCTTTTGTTTTACGAGTGAACGCACACTTTCTTAATAGTAGAAACAGTTTTTTCATTTGAATACCGCTGTGTCCTGCATTACAAGCTAAAAGGTGAATCGAACGGTATTTTAAGGAAATAATCATGAGTATTCCCTTTTGTAAATGTAATTGACTAGTAGGCAGCAAATAAAAAGTGGTCTATGAATAAATCTGCTCTTTGCGCATGTACCTGAATGCAGCACCAATGTAAGGAAAAATGGGCGTGGCTAACGTGTCATCATCTTCCGGGAAAACAACGTGAGTTTTGTAAGGTCCATGGGTCTCAAAAATGTGTACTTATTTTCAAATTACTGTGGTATTAAACGCAGCACAGCCGTGTAGTACATGATAGTGGTGGTGGTGTTGTGCTGTGTAGAGACTTTAGAATGGATGCTAGAGCTCATTTCGCTTTCTGTGAGAAGTTTAGATTAGGCTAGCTGCTGTGTTAGCACATAGCACTTGTCACAGTTCACACTCATATCAGTACCCCATATACAGTGTAGTTTCACCCATTGTGTTCATTTTACTGTGACCAGTTAGGAATATCTACGTTTTGAACCACTGACTGCTTTGCGTTGAACTGTTCACCTCCACCACACAGCAGACACTAGCTAAAACTGTTAGTAACAGCAAAGCACTTAAAATAAGGTCATGTACTGTACGCCGCTATACTATCACCGTATGACTTTACCCTAGTATGTTATTATTAGTAACAAAGCAGCGGTTTAAAGTTGGTTACGTTCAATGTTGTCATTTGTTGTAGGTGTTCGCCATGGGACGCACCAGCCTGGATAAGATCATTGCACTGCAGAGAAACCCTGCCAACATCAGAAACCTGTGCATTCTGGCACACGTTGATCATGGTGAGTAACATTTGTATTGCTGCATTTAACTCCAGATGTGCTTTCTTCTTTATTATGTAGACGTGGCAAGCCAAATTCAAGTTGGTCGAGATACGTTTTACCTGCTTGTCTGGGGATGAAGCACCTACAGTGTGACTAACTCAACATCTCGAAAACGTACTTTAAAACTCTGCATATGTCATTAAATATATAATCAGTTTATATTTTGCTTTATTACTGTAAGCTGATTCACCAGATGCCAAATCCTACAGGTGCAAGCCATGTAACAGCTTTTTATACAGTGTATGATGCAAAGCATTCATTTAGAGACATGTTCAATTTAGTGACATTTGATTGGATGTAGGGTTGGTAGTATGAGGTACGAGTGAAATTAATATCACAGCATCACAGTTTTTTAGCTCAACTTTAATTATTGATTACATTGGTTTGAATTAATTTAGGCATTGGAATTGTGTCATAAGGAAATTATGTTATGGTTTTATTACCATTGTTGAGGGCATGGGGTAAAACAGGGGCTAATGAAGTTTAGGGTTGTTTTTACAGAGTAAACTCATTATTTATTAATCTCTATTTTATCTTAAATTGGTAGGTTAATTTTTTAGTATATAAAATGTCAGAAAACAGTAACAAATAATAATAAAAAAATCATAGTTTACTGTTGCCCAAGGTGACATCTTCTGCTTATTTGTTTGACTAACAGTTTTGAACTTAAATACATTTGATTTAAAATGAGATAAAACAGAGAAAAGCAGCAAATCTTTTAACATTAGTAACTGGTTATTTTCTGTGAACACATTAAATGGTTTGTGTTTGGATAGTCTGTACTGTCAGCTCTACTGTATGTCGGTGAAACCATTTGGAAACACCTGTGTTTTTGCAGGTAAAACGACTCTGGCTGACCGCTTAGTGGCAAGTAATGGTATCATATCCAGTCGCTTGGCTGGGAAGGTAAGTGACTTTATTGTTGGAGAGACTTTTTGACAGCGATGCTGTATGACCTGCACGTGCTGTGCTGCATTTCACTCTTGCTTAGCCATTATTTGTGGTTGTTTGTGATGTGCTAATCTGCCAGCTGAGGTATCTGGACAGCAGAGAGGATGAACAGATCAGAGGAATCACCATGAAATCCAGTGCCATCTCTCTGCACTTCGCAAATGGTAAGGCTACTTTGTACTGGTTGAAGTAAAGTCCACACTTTAATGTGCCTCGCTGTTATATGCCCTCTTGTTTAGTCCACTCCAGGACTGAATCTGGGATGATTTGTTCTAAGTCTGTTCTTAATTTACAGGCTTTGCCTCAGGGTGCTTTGGCACCTTTGGATTTTGTGTGGAATTTTTATATGGCCTTTTTTGATTTTTGCTTTCCAGTAGACAGATCCAAGGAATTTTCTTTAAAGTTTTTGATGGTAAATGTATTATTTATATTACAGCAGTTATGAATCCTAAAGCACTCAGAGTGATCCTTGTTTGATGGCTCTTCTTTATTATGCTGTGATGTGAAGGAATACATTTCAGCTGTGTCATGGTGTTTAGCTTTAATACTATTGTCTCCAAGGAAATAGTTCAGCTCAGTGCTGACTGTTGTTGGTTTGTTATACCATTAAAACTGAATATAAATAAAGAGATAACCATTCATGTAAATAGTAGTTAGTTGCCTCATCTGAGCTCCAGTGTTACTGAACTGGATTTTGACTCTAATGTGAATAAAAGCTGGGCTTCTTGGCAGTCAGAGCAAAGTGTTCTTTTGAGGAGGGGCCTCTAAATAGTGTTTATGTGTCCCTTGTCTCCTCAGGAGACCAGGAGTACTTACTGAACCTGATCGACTCCCCTGGTCACGTTGACTTCTCCTCAGAGGTTTCCACTGCTGTCAGGTTATGTGACGGTGCCATTGTAGTTGTTGATGCTGTGGAGGGAGTGTGTCCACAGGTAAATATCTCTGTTGACTCACTGTCTCATTTTGTAACCTGTTATCGTGCTAGGAAGAAACACTTTATTTACTGGAGGTTCACATTGTTTCCTGTGAACATACTAAATCTGCATTCTGTGTGTAAGAGAACATTTCTCTGTACCCACAGAGGAAATCACCCTTAGCCCAAACTTAGCTCAGGATGCATTGGACTGATAATGATATGAGCATTGAAGTTGTTACAGGACCTTTTCTGATAGGGACGAAGTTCAATAGCTGGTTCTGTTTTGGATCTGGGTCCAAGATGGATAAATACCTGGATTTGTTAAACTTCATTTCCCTTACTGAATCTGTTATTCACGTTCTGTTTAGTTTACACTGTTTGGCCTATGTTGGAAAAGGGAAAAATGCTATTGTACATAGATACGATATGGCTTAACTGCTCCATAGACAACAAAATGGCAAGATTTGCAGGAAGATACTCATGACATAGGGGAATAACACATTTTTTGTTACGCCTCCATGTTAGCAGCAGTTTGACAGAAGACACAGATTTTCAGGTTCTCCATCCATCCGCCTCATTCTCGTGAACACGATATCTCAAACACCTTGAAGGATTTTTTTTTTCCTCCAAATTTGGCACAAATGCTCACTTGGATTCAAGGAGGATGTGACAAAGCTCTCTATCGGTACTCTGTAAAAAATGAGTGTATTGAAGATGGCATGTTTCTCGCTGGACATTTTTCAATAGAATCATATGTTAATATAGTAAAAACTCTTGTTTTGCCAAAAATAAACTTAAAGGTGAAATTTGTAACATTTGAAAGGCTCTAGAATCAGTCACCTCCGCTCTGCCCAGCCCTCCCTCTGCCTGCTTGCTCCACTTTCCATACTCCACCGGACCCTTTGTGAACGTGAAACCGATTATGAAATTCACCAAGTCATCAGGTAGCTTTGTCTGTGCAGATTCTCAGTCATCCAGGTCATAGTAAACTGAAAAATCCTTAGAAAAAATCAACTGGACTTAGATTTCTAGATCAAAGACGTTTCACCTCTCATCCAAGAGGCTTCATCAGTTCTGACTGACTGGTGTGGAGCTGGAGATATTTATCTCCCTCGGTGTGGTTTCAGTCCTTTGAAGGCCAACCATGTCCCTTAACGACTGAGTCGTTACAGCCCAGTATCTGAGAGTCGTTACCTGTCTTTAGACCCTCCCCTGTCGACCGACGCCTATTGTCCTGGTGGGCATGTTTGGGCAGAGATCTCAAAACAGGATTGTAGATGGAAGACAAGTTGTGTCTTACTCCACCACCCCTATTTAGTGAGGGGTGTTCTATTTTTACAAAAATAGCTTCCTTAACTCCTCTCTCAAACCAGCGATGTTCTCTGGAGAGGATCTGGACTTCACTGTCCTCAAAAGAATGTCCTTTGTCCTTCAGGTGGAGGTGGACTGCTGACTCTGGTCCACTGGAGTTGGCCCTCCTGTGTTGGGCCATG